CCCCCCCCCCCCCTTCCCCTTTTCTTTTTTCCTAGCAAAAGTGATGAATATACGTGCACTACTGGACCAGAATGCACAAGTTTGATTCAGTCACTTATTGAAGCTGCCCAATATAGTAGTAACCAAGGTTTTAAATGTCGGATGTCGGGTTCATGTCGGATAGCGAAAATCGGGAATATATCGGGGGACATTGACTAAATATCGGATTGTCATATCGGGTAGTGCGCATATGTATAATATCATGTCCTAAATGTAATCTAAGCATTCATAAATTCAATATAAGCATACTTTATAAATTCTATAGACTAAACATATTTATAAGTAAATAATATATGAATTTGGGTTCATAAATTCTTTCTATCGGGTTCATAAGAAACCCTTAAACATGAGAACGGGTCAAACGGATTTGGGTATTTATCACTAAACCCAAACCCGATAACATAAACAGATCTTAAAGAAAAGTACCATATCGGCCGGTTTTTCAAAGCTAAAAAATAGACCGATATGCCCGATATAACCCTGATATTTCCGATTTGGCCCTGAAAACCGACATACAAGTTGAAAACGTCCATGTCGTGTCAGTCAAGCCCTCAAACCGATATGTCGGACATTTAAAACCTTGGTAGTAACCAAATGATATGCATCAGAGAAAACTACCCAAGCATTTGATTATTTTCAGATTCCAATGCCAAAAACGAGGTTCCTTTCCTGAAAGCTTCTGTCCAAAAAATTTAGGTAATTAAGGTTAAATAAAACTAGAGGCTGGAGATATAATTAACTAATCAGACCTATAATAATCATTCTAAATGTTGTCTAGGGATAAAAGGAACATAGCCATCTTTGTTAAGGGAACCCTCCTCAAAACGAAAATTTAGAAGCATGTGCCCTTCAATTGTGAACTTACGTCATGTCAAACAGCATATCAGACATGACATTCTTGTCACGTTACCGTGCGCTGTGTGTATTTTTCCAGAGCGTCCGTGTCACTGTATTGTTTGCAACTGGTGGTTTGTCCATGTCCATGCATGAACATGAAATTTTTGAGGTGTTATTATGACTTTATCGAATCAGCACCGTTAATGATCCTGTTCCTCTACTTGTTCTCCTCCTTTTCTCTTCCTCTTTCTTCTTTTTCCAATTTCTTTGAAAACATAAAAGACTAAGTTTATTCAGTTTTTAAAATTTCATTTATGGTCTTTGACATATTAACAATAATTTGCACCTTTTGTTGACAGTTGAGTTTTGTATGCATCTGTGCATTGATTATGTTAGGTTAGAAATATTACATCCATGCCTCACATTGTGCTCACAATAATTTTCTAGAATTGTAAATAATAATGCAATAACAAAATGGAAAAAGTACACAATTTTAGCATGAACTATATTTTATTAGTCAAAGTGTCAAACATCACATAATATAATAAGAAAGATGACAGAGCATGATATAACAGTTTGGTGCAAATCTGAGATATTGTTACTGTTGGAATATAAAAATAAAACCTTCAACCCTCAACACAACTTTGGAGTCTTGGTGTAATGGTTAGGGACTTTAAGATAATATCATAGCAACTCACATTTAAATCCCACCAGCCACGAATTTAAAGTGGATTTTAAATTAAAAAAAAATTTGACCCCGCTACATGAGTCCATATTTCAGCCATAAATAAGGGCACTCAACCTGCAGGGGCATTTTAGAATATAAATACATGACCCTCGGCGCTCACCAAAATTTCGAAGCTTTGGTGTAACAGTTAGGGACTTTAAGAGTTACCATCCATAGGAGATAAGATCAAATGTGCTCGCTAACGGAGTACAAATTAGTAAGGAAACATATCAGCAGTAGTGAGATCTGAAGGAACACAGAATTCCTAGAATCTTAAGTAGATGATTTTAGCTTACAAGGCCTAAACCATGTCATACTGGAAGAGAAAAGTACAAAAACAGATATACTTATTCTTAGATAATAGAAAGATTAAGGAAACCCATTATCCACATCCAAAAGATTCCATGCTGGGGGAAAAAGAAGAAACAAATTTCATAATGCTTATATAGAGGAATAGAACAAGGAAAGTTTTTGTGATTACATCCTCATATGCCTGCGACTTCTTCTCGTAATCCTCCCTCAAATCTTCCAAATTCTTCTCTGCTAATGGTATGGTCTCTTTTCTGAGCTTAAGATATTCCTCATAAACCATACGAAGCTTGTCCAACTGCTGGAACTGTGAGTCTGCCTCTGAAGAATCCACAGCTAATTTTCTTACATGTTCTGCAGAACTTGCACTTTTCGTTCTTTGCTGAGAAGTATAAGAAAATGTCACATGAAAATGTCAGTATGCTTCATATGTGCGTCTCTGTCAGCATGCGTGTGCGTGTGTATGTGTGTGTTCTCTTTTTCTTTTTTGTTTTCATTTATAATTTTATTTATTTATTTATTTATTTAAGACTTGGCTACTTGCAGAAGGATTTGGAGATAAATCTTTCCCAATCAACATCAAGGGTAAGTCATTTGAATGTAGAAATCCAACCTCCTTTCAAATTGATCTACACCATTTAGAGTAAATAAAAACCAAAAATGAAGTGGTTTAAAGTTTCCCCCTACAACATCAACCAAGAACAAAATGGGACAGTTGAAAAGTAGCAAATTGCTCACTTTATATGTAAATGCTCATTTAAATTGTTTGAACCTATCAAAAATTGGTAGATGAGGGTTTTCAAGCGCTTAGATAAAGATCTTGTTTGATTTTCTCATGTACCAAAAATAGATTCAACTAACATGCCATTTTCTACTATCGTTTTCTACCTATTTGTTGCATAAGCAAAAAAACACTTTAAATCTAGATTTTTGGTTATCAAGTACTTTCACTATTTAGATCAACATGAATGCAGTGGTTTCCATTTGGTGACTGTCGTTAAATTTGCCTGAAGAATTTGCTCAAATCCTTCCGGAAGCTAAGTTAATTTGTCTGTCCATCTAGCTAAAGACTAAACTAAAGTAAACAGAGGACAGGTTAAACCCCAAACTAACAAATTTCTACTCGAAAAATTTGTGAGACACCACTAACCTTCTCAACAAAATCATCCTCCTCTTCGGGGGAGAAAGGTCGCTCACAGCAAGGGCAAATGTGAAACGACCGTGCAACTCTTTCAAAGGGATCAAACATTTGGCGCATTCCATCCGCAATATTGAATTTACTGCACCAAAAATTGTATGAAAAGGGCTGAGTGTTTGAAATTAATAGAAAAAAGATAAACCAGTTCTCATGTTATAAAACAATAGGAACCTTTTCTGCATATCCCTACTCTCCATAGCCTGAAGAAGAACTTTAGGGAAGGAATCAATATCAGAAGATGCCGGAGCCAAAGACTGAAGTTTGGAGTCCAGGAATCTTCTCTTTGCTGCATGAAAAAAAAATGTTTTATTGTGCATCACATAACAATTTCTAGTGGAAAAGAAGTTGAACCAATGTTTCAAAATAAGAGAATATAAATCAACATCTGCAGATCACTAAGAAAGTGAAGAATGTGAAGTTTCACATCATGGCTCACACTAGAAAGCAACAATGCTCAAATACCAGTGGATCATCATATCTCCATAGTTGAACGGGTGGGAAAAATGGAATTACTAGCATTACTGAAATTAGGCGTGTTGAGGCAAGATCTAGATAATAAACCAGCATTATATGATACATACAATATAAAAAAGGATATTTTCTGAACAAATCATACTTTCTTTAAAAGTACGAGTTCGGAAAAATCTTTTCATAGTCAATATTACCCTTAATTTTTTTTGAATATTACATTGTTATCTTAATCTGTTCTAATTATCTTATCTTCTTTGAATTGGTAATTAAATGATTTATCCTATTCATAATAAGACTTAACATGTTATTGAATAAAGAAGATACGTTTGATATAGTTCAAATCCTTTACTTATTTCTATTCACAGAGAAATCCAAAAAACATATGCTAGCCAGCACTTAAAAGTTTTTGGACTTTGTATAAAAAATCTTTCAAGTTTTTTAAATTGCATAAACACCCCTACAAATTTAAAATTTTATTAAAATATCTTAAAAATTATAAATTTTACTTATTTCAATTTAGTGAGAAATCTGAAAAACATATGCTAGCTAGAAACTGAAAAAAATTTGACTTCAGAGAAAGTATATCGTAAGTTTTAAAAATTGCAAAAGACCCCTAAAAATTCAAATTTTGTAAAAAATGCCTTAAAAATTTAAAATCTATAAGCACACTAAAAACCTACAAATAACACAAACAACCCCTAAAAAATTATAAAATTTGCAATAAACACACTAAACTTTTTACAAATCTATACTACATATAAAAGAGGATTGTCGAGTCTAAACTTTTGATTTTTATTTTTAGCCCTTTAAGTTTGATAATTCTCAAATATATCATTAATTGTAATTAATCATTCACTAATTATATATAACCTCTTATTAATTATACATTTCCTCACTTTTCTAAAACCTTTGGTCACACTATTATTTTATTGTTTAATTATGTTATTTAATAGAAAATTTGAAATTTATCCCTAATTTATCCTCACATAAAATTTAAAATTCTATAAAAATTAAAAATAACAAAAATTCATTAGGCTTATGCCTATAACTTTGGGTTTCACCTCTTATGGAGGACTACCTGTTACCTTATATCTTATTAGCCTTTCAAAAAAAAATATGATAATAGTACGAAAAACAATTTGCATTTATTATAATTGCAATAGTATTAATAGTATAATAATTTTAATAGTATTTTTGAATTAATAAGTTACACTGTAATTTAATAATTATACAATTTAGTAAATTATTTACTTTTAGTATAATAAACTAATTATTTAATTAAAATGTAGTTACTAATAGTATTATAGTTATGTCAAGCATAATATTATTTATTTAAAAGATAAAAAACTATTTAATATATTATAATTATTCTAATAAATTATGAATAAATTATAATAATAATAATAATTATCCAAACTATAATTGGTCATACAGTTATTTATATACAGTTTTACAATTTATTCATTTAAATAAAATTGTAATTGTTCAAAATTTATATTGCTATATAAGTCATTTCATTTTTTATAGCCAACAAAAAAATTGAAAAACATAAAATAAAGCAAGGATGCTCTCGTGCAAAGCACGTGCACTATACTAGTATTATTTAAAAATAGCAGTTAAGTAAATCAACCTTTAATAATTAGTAAAGCAGGCTTCAAGCTTTACAATCATCCAATGAAAATCTAAAAACCTAGATTAAATCTCTGAAATCCCAATTATCCTAGATTAAATCTCTGAAATCCCAATTATCCTAGATTAAATCTCTGAAATCCCAATTATTATTTCCTCATCTCTGAAGATCGTCCTGTATCTACTCACAACCCCCTACCCCTTCCAACTAGCCATTCATAACCCCATCCATCTAGCAAGTCAGAAGATGTGAGCAGGGCGAACACATGCAGCGTTGTTTTCGATGATACTTCCTTTGTGGCTCAGTAAAAAGAAAGAGCCATTTTGAAGAATAAGATCACATCCATTCAAGCAACATGGAAAAAGATAATCTAGACTGAAGGCTAGAATCATGGTAGATTTTAACTCCCTTTGCATAATCTGTCCCGAGGCAAACAAATAACTCATGCTTCACAGACCCATGATCCATCCATATCAACATTTATGAGGTTTGTCAAAATCCTAGAATGACAAAAGCAAGTTTCAAAACCTTTAAAAGAAAGTTCGACAGTAGAAAGTCAACATTTCGGGTCAGAGTTTAGAAGCAACAAGTCTGGCTAAAGGCTCATAGAGTCATAGCAATAGATCAGAGTTTACGTCATAATCATACAGGTCAAAACTGGTATCCCTGACCCTCTAGTTTGGCATAGCGGGCACCAGAATCCAGGAAATCACCCTTTACTTGCTAAACCTAGAAATATTCGGCCAATTACCCCGAGTGGAATCTCACATATAAATGGCGAGACTTATCATTCAACTAAGCTTTTAATATGATATTGAAAGGAAAAAAAACTGTGCGCATGAAAATGACTAAAGTGGATATCTTTTGGATATGCCAAGAAATGTAGAGTAATGAATCTAATTTACCATCCATATCTCGTTGAAGCTTGGACAAGTGACTCTCAGTATCTTGAATTTTCATCTGAATCACTTTTACCTCTTTTTCTGATTCACGAGTTTTCACGTTCAAGTCATCGAACTCTTTCTTTACAGACCTGAAAAGATGGTAGGAGAAAACCATGTCACTAGACTGAAACAAAAAAGAATGTTGCCTAAATAATGACTGCAACAGGTAAAGATGGATTGTCGAAAAGATAGGCACCCCATAGTTTACTCAAACATATCATATAAAGCATCATTCA